CGGCGGTGAACGTGAACGCGTTGATGTGTGTGTGTGCTAGAATGATCGCTGCCCTGATCGTGATCGTGATCGCGGCCGTGATCGCACCAGTGTGCGTGTAGCTTAAGGGTTCACCAAATGATCACAGTGGCGCTAATGACTCATAATTCTAAAAAAAAATGAAAAGTAACCGTAGATAAGAGAATAAAAGTAACAAAACCAAACATTACCCAAAAAAGCTTTGTTTTTATTTTTTAGAATATAAAACTATTATTACAGGGTGGTCCGAACTGTATTCCGGAAACTTATAAATGTATGTCCTAAAATGTTTACTTTCGGAGATACAGGGTGTAGAAGTTTCATTTTAATTTCGATTTTTTCCAAATAATTCATGAAGTAACAACAATATTTGGATGAAAATTAGGCAGTTGCATATTTTTTAACTGCTTTGAAGAGTTATAACTTTTCGTGCGTACTTGTATAAAACTACTGAGTAAAAAAATATACATTTACGACGTTTTTTACGTGAAAAGAGTCTCTTGGTAAAAATCGCTACGAGTAATGGTTTTCGAGATATTTGGAATGGAAATTATCAATACCTGTCATCATTGACATGAAAATGGTATGAATTAAACATGCTGACTAAATAGTTATTAGACAAAAATCTTAAATTTGAAATGTTTTTGTGCCAAGAGTTCAACAGAAACTGTTTTGTCATCATTTTTTTTCAGAAAAAATTATGATTAATTTAAAAAAATAAAAATTTCCCAAATTTATTATTTCAGTGAAATAACTATCTACTCAACGTGTTCATTTTTCGTCAATAATGACATGTATTGACTATTTCCATTCTAAATATCTTAAGAACGGTTGCTCGTAGCCATTTTTATAAAGAGACATTTTTTACGTAAAAAGTCCCAGAGATGTGTATTTTTTCGCTCGGTAGTTTTATACAGGAACGGACAAAAAGTTAATACGCTTCAAAACAGTTAAAACACATGTAGGTGGCGCCCTCTACTAGTAAGAGTCATATTGACATCAAAATCAAATTTTTCATGTCAAAAAACTCCCAGTCACCAATTTTCATCTAAATATTGACGTTACATCAGAAATTATTTAGAAAAAATCGAAATAAAAATGAAACTTTGACACCCTCTATCTCTGAAACTAAACATTTTAGGACATACACACATTTATACGAACTTTTTTATTTATTTTTGCTGGTATTTTTGTAGCTTTCTCTGGGCCGTATTATAAATTTTTAGTCATTCGTCAAGGTAGATTTTTGCAAAGAACTTTTAGATATGCCTATTCCAAATAAAACGAAATTCTAGACGAAAGTTCTACTTTAACGCCTCTTCAACAAAGTTTAATACAATTTTTGCATAAAATCATCTAGGGAGATAATATTTATATATCCCGTGTTCCGATGCACCACATGGTAGGTATGTAACAAATAGTTAATTTACTACATATCCAGCCCTGGTCTCCCTTGCGTGTCGTTTGTCCCCGCTTACCCTTCCGTCACTAGTTTGTTCCTTTTCGTATGATTTTTTCAGGTCCTCTGTACCCCTCTCGCCCCCGTTTTGGCGGGTTTTACCCCCTCTTCCCCTACGTAGCTCCGCGCTTCGGGAAAACGAATCAAAATAACATTTTTTTCGCATCGATATGAAAGTGCAGGCGCGTATACATATACATACATATATTTGTATGTATGGGTTGTGTGTGTGTATGCTGCGTTCTTTTTTATTTTCTTTTACTAACGTTCTATCGCATTTTGGAAATGCACGCGGGCCGAACAACAATAAATCATATTGCACAATATACAGTGGCTGGCTATGGCTACAGCTTTCCAGGCATGATGTAATAGGAGTTTTGTAAAGCTTTTTTTTAAGTGTCGTTTATGAAAGTTACTATTTATTATCGGAAATAAATCATCATCATCATTTTCATCTTATTCAATCATTTCAAATTATTTAAAAAAGGCGCCCATCAATCCCAAAGAGACATGATTTATAAATACAAAAGCCACAGCAATAAGAATCTTTCCTAAGTCTGGGTCTCAAGATTTCCGTTGAGACCGAGACTTAAAATCTTATTGCTTTGACTTTTGTATTTCCAATTATGATGTAGCCTCCGTCACATATTTAGATACTATCTTTGTAGTTGGGCCCATTGTTGTCTATTTTTGGCTATGCGAGCTCAAGTTATCACTGCTAATTTCCTAATATCATGGTTCCCTCTAAGATTTTGTCTTTTTCTAGGTCTCTTAATTCTTCGTACGTACATGCTGTAATTGTTGTGGTCCATCTGTTGTCCGTCATTCTTGCAAGGTGTCCTGCTCATTGTCACTTGAGGGATTTGATTCTGTGGATGACATCTATTACCTGTGTCTTTTGCCGTATCCACTCTATTCTGTTACGGTCTTTCTTGGTTATTTCCAGCATATTTCGTTCCATTGAGCGTCGTGCGACCTACAGTTTCCTTATAGTGTCCGTTTTAAGGTTGATTCTCACTATACCTTCCATATCAGCTCCCTTCCGTTTCCTTTCCATTTACATAAAATATTATATTATGAAAATGAATAGGACAATGCACACTATCCGTTCCGTTTCCCTTCCGTTCCATGTCCTTTCCTTCCATACATTTTTTTGGCGGATGGACTGAAGCGTATCGGAAACAGCGTTGTCAAGTTCTTACATTTGTACTAGCTCTGTTAACATTTTGCTAATATTTATTTATTCTTTCACCTCTTAATTAAATATATTACATTTTTCAAAAGATACAAATTTTTAAAGTAAAACTTTCGTAATGATATAATAATTATACAATAAAACGTATGAAACTGATACGGAACGGAAGCTTACGTATAGCGTCAATACAATAAAAATACGAAACGAATATGGAATGGATATGAATGGATATGGAATGGATATGGAATGGATATGGAATGAATATGGAATGGATATGGAATGGATATGGAATGGATATGGAATGGATATGGAATGGATATGGAATGGATATGGAATGGATATGGAATGGATATGGAATGGATATGGAATGGATATGGAATGAATATGGAATGAATATGGAATGGATATGGAATGGATATGGAATGGATATGGAATAGATATGGAATAGATATGGAATGGATATGGAATGGATATGGAATAGATATGGAATAGATATGGAATGGATATGTAATGGATATGGAATGGAGATGGAATGGAGATGGAATGGAGATGGAATGGATATGGAATGGATATGGAATGGATATGGAATGGATATGGAATGGATATGGAATGGATATGGAATGGATATGGAATGGATATGGAATGGATATGGAATGGATATGGAATGAATATGGAATGGATATGGAATGGATATGGAATGGATATGGAATGGATATGGAATGGATATGGAATGGATATGGAATGGATATGGAATGGATATGGAATGGATATGGAATGGATATGGAATGGATATGGAATGGATATGGAATGGATATGGAATGGATATGGAATGGATATGGAATGGATATGGAATGGATATGGAATGGATATGGAATGGATATGGAATGGATATGGAATGGATATGGAATGGATATGGAATGGATATGGAATGGATATGGAATGGATATGGAATGGATATGGAATGGATATGGAATAGATATGGAATGGATATGGAATGGATATGGAATGGATATGGAATGGATATGGAATGGATATGGAATGGATATGGAATGGATATGGAATGGATATGGAATGGATATGGAATGGATATGGAATAGATATGTAATGGATATGTAATGGATATGGAATGGGTATGGAATGGAAACGGAAGGTATAGCGAGAATCAACTTTTAAGTGTCCAGGTTTTGCATGCATTGGTCATGACTGGTAGTACACATTGGTTGAATGTTTCCTTCTTTAGATAAAGTAGCATTCTAAATTTTGAATATGATTGAGTTTCTTCCATAAGTACTCCATGCTAACTTAATTCGTCTGTTGGTTTCTGTTAGTAGAGATCTCGAGCTGTGTATTAGTTGCCTCAAATATATACATTCTTCTACTATTTCCAGTGTTCTGTTATTTATTAGAACGTTTTTTCTGTCTACTAGTTCATTATACATTACTTTAGTTTTTACTAAATTTATTTTGAAATAATTAATACGGACATAAATACATGCTATTCATTTGATATAATAATAAATAAAACGCAAATAATGCTTGTAAGCTTGTGGCGGGTTCGATTCTTAAAAAAAATCATGGTTTTTCGCTACTAGAAGAAAAACTGACAAAAAAACTTGCCTCTGACCACGGGAGAAGATATACCCCCTGAAACTTTAAGCATTTTTGCAAGTTAGGCAAATTCGTTTTACTAGTAAAAAACACTAATAAATTGGCCTCAGTTAAATCAACGCAGTGGTGTTTACAAGAATATCTTTTTTATTTTGTTGATCTGCAAGATTAAGACCAAGACCGACCAGTTCAAGACTTCCGCAAGACCAAGCAAGCGTAACTCTTGCGGTCTTGCTTTTTCTCTATTATGTTGTAGAAGAAATTACTTATTTGTTCAAAATTCTTGTTTGAATTTATTATAAAAGAAATGCTTGATGATTCAAGATAATATATTGAAAAATGAAATTTTTCGTCAAACAAATATTATTTTATTACAAACTTATTTTTAATAACAAAAAAAGAACCTAAAGAATAAAAATAGCATATATTTTTGATATATATATATTTATATAGAATACCTTATAGCGTCCGAATCATAATTTGTTGGCCTACGATGCACACTTTATTAAAAACAACGGTGGGATTGCATAAGAATTGATACGGTTTAGGATAAGCGTGTATTAGACTTTAGATGACTCTGAACATCTGTTATACGCACTACGACACATTTTGCCACATCTTCATAAAAAAAATCCTACAAAATATAACTCGAACCGAAAAAGTTATGGGAGAACCAAAAATAAAAGCAAATACATTGTTAAATAGGTACTGTGCACTCACCATCGGTCAATGAATACCATGAAAGTGCGCGTGCGCGCCTCCAATTTCCGAGAGCTGGTTCTTCGAGCCACCCTGTATCCAAACACCCGTCTCGTCTTAGATCACCTTAAAAATAAAGAAATTATATTAATTAATATATCTATAATAGTTATTTTTTTATACAAGACGATAAAATGGTATTTTATAGTCAACCGAAAAGATTAATTCACGAGCGATGAAACCGCGAGTGAATTAATTTCAGGAGACGGTAATGCAATTTTATCGTCGTGTATAAAACAATATTTCTTTCCATAGCGAGTTACGTTTTAAAAAATATTCAGAAATCATTATTTCAAGGAAGTTATTACGAGTAGAAAAAATATTATGCTGGGTTGGCGTTGGTTTCAATGTTATTTGACAAATAAATAAAGCTGTCTCTTTAGTTGTCAGTTTTGAGTCAATATTTTTTAATTCTCTTTCGTGTCGATTGCTGATTGAATTGGAGCCAAAAATGGCTCAAAACGAAATAATTAAATTACCAACAGATATTCAGGCTGAGGCGACAAACGCCATATCCAAACTACTTCCATTTAAATCCCGAATAACTTATGAAAAGGAATACAAAAATTTTCAAAAATCGAAGCAATTAAAAAACGTGCGAGAAGAAATAAAGTTTTTAACCTATCCTCGCTGTTAATATCATTTAATCTGCCCTTGCGGTTAAAGTACTATTTTATCTACTATTTTTGATAGATATAGTTGCTATGGAAAAAATATATGAAATGTTTATGTTATTATCCTTTAGGATAATAAGAGTGTTGCATTTCTTTTCTAAACAGACACTGAAAAAATATCTGCCAACTGCCAAGTCATTATAATTATAACAGCAATAAAGACACGTCTAATATTGATACTAACAATTTATAACAATTTTATTTTTGTCACAGATGTGTTAAAAAATAAAACAGGCGTTTATATTTTTTTAGAAAAAAAAGGAGAAAGAAACTGTAATAACGACACCCAACACAAAAACAGAACAAGAATAGAAACAATTTATAGCGAAAATTTCATATTGGCCGTATACCCTCCTCCTCTCCCCTCTCTCTGAGCCACAATAACACACCCCGGGTCCCAAAATCGGATTTATTCCTTTTAATATCGCGAAACGCTGGCAAAACTGGCCGTGGCCGCGCGTTCCGCTAAGTGATGTATATTTTAATTTGGAAAGCTTCGGCTTGGGTCGCGGCGAGACGGCGGAAAAATAAAAAATAGGGCGCTGGCTCGGAGTGGAAAGCGCCAAAGGGCTCACCCTTTAATTGACCCCGAACGTGGTTTATTTGCGCCGCCCGGAGAAACTTGCGATTCTTTGCTAAATAACAATTTTGTTAGTTAGTCAATTTGTGATTTATTTTGTTTAGAAAATACTATGTATTTAAGAGTCCATTTCACTAGTCCGAAAAAGTAGCAAAATAATCATTCGGAATTTAACGATTTATGTTAAACTGGCTAGGTATTTTTACACAAATGAAGAAGAAAATTAAAAATAAAGTATTATACTACACTTGCGTGCATAGAAATCGGCCCAAGGCAAAATTTTAAAGTTAACTATATATTTTTTAGAATCTATTTGTCAGATTAAGAAAAAATACATGCTGTTTGAAAGACAACTTCATATTCTTTGAAAAGAGTTTAGAGATATTAATTTGTATTTTGGTTTCTTTGAATTAAAATTATTAAATTAATGCATGAAACAAAATATCGTTTCTTTATTATTAAGAGGTATGTTATTATTTATTTATTTATGGACAATTAACTAAACTAAATTTTCAATAATGGGTATGACCCCCTCTTGCTCTAACAACATCTCTCATACGATTTGGCATAGATTCGATCAAATTTGATATTGTTTCTGCTCTGGGATAGAAGTTGGGGCTCTTCGTCTAGTACGAATTCTTCGTTTTAGCTCATCCCATAAATGTTCTATCGGGTTTAAGTCTGGACTGCATGCTGGCCATTCCACAACCCGAAATCCGACTTCTGAAATGTAATCGTGTACGATTCTTGATGTGTGTGCCTTCGCATTGTCATGCATAAAAGTGAATTCGTTTCCAATGTAGTCGACGTAAGGTACCACATGAACTGCTAAAATCTCCTCAATATACCTAGCATCAGTTAAACCTGCTCTCCCGTGCCGACGATCGCCCCAACGGATGAAAATTGGGTCGGTTCGCGCAGTCATAGAAATTGCATCCCAGATCATGCAGGAACCACCTCCATAAGCAATCCGCTCCTCAATGCAGCATTCTGCGAATCGCTCACCTGATCGCCGGTACACTTTTCTTCTTTGGTCGCTACCATAGAGGCATATCCTGGTCTCATCTGAGAATAAAACAGATTCCCATTGTTCTAGTGTCCAATTCAGATGTTCCAGTGCAAAACGCAGGCGTGCTTGACGATGAGCTGGGGTAAGTTTTGGACCAATTACGGGTGCTTTGGGGGTCATGTTACTTTCCTTCAATCTTCGTCTTACTGTTCACTGACTAATAGTCACTCCTCGTGTTTCACGGAGCTGTTGTTGCACCTGAATAGCATTAAGACGCCGATTTCTTAACATTGTTGACACAATAAAGCGGTCATCACGATCCGTTGTATATCTCTTTCTACCAGTTCCAGGTCGACTACGAAAGGATCGAGTCCCTCATATCGTTCACACACTCTTCAAACCGCTCCGCTTGTCATATGGAGTTGCCGAGCTACAGCTCTCTATTTAAGTCCATTTTCGATTAAAGCGATTACTTGGGCGGCTTTTTCCGGTGATGTATGCATTAAATTAAACACTAATCAAACAATGAAACACAACTAATCAAAGAATAAAAGAACAATGTGAAAATTTCGATTACAAAGGTAGTAATTGCAATATTTGACAAGTTTGTTATTCTTATTGTCACCACAACACAAATACCTTTTATTTGGTTACCCGTTGGTACGCATATAAACGATAAGTACCCTGAATAAATTTATGCTCATATTAAACCATGTTAAATTGTCTTTGAAACAGCTCATATTTTTTACTTGCCATGATAAATAGATTCGAAAAGACACAGTTAAAACCAAAAGTTCACAGCGGGCCGATTTCTATGCACGTAAGTTTATATCCGTATTGTAGCACATTTTTAGACAACTTCTTTATTTTTAAGATTTTGATGGTCAAACACAGGGTTCGGAAGTAGTTAATTAAGACGTAATTTACCTGATTAACTACGTGTAGTTTTTCTTCAAAAACTACGTTTTTCCCGTTCGTTAACTACATGAAAACTACGTTAATAAACTACCTATTGATATTATGAATAATTTTGCTTTATATGAAGAGTCTAAATAATATGATGTAAATGGTTATATTTAAAGCCATATTTCTTCTGTTTTCTTAAATACATTATGTGTTTTCTAAAGCTTTAACTTATTATAACCTCACCTCATACCTTTAACATTTGAAAGTTACATACATATGTTACATAAACTACACCCTCTACATAAACTACATGAACTACATGTAATGTAGTTTATGTAGTTTTTAAAAGTAACATGTAGTTTTCCGAACCCTGGTCAAACATCAACAAGATATTCCTTATCTTTGGACTACATTTTCTCGAAAATAAAGACATAATTTAAAATTCCGTTGCAATACGGAAATATATTGAAGTTTTGTGATTACAGTGATATATAATTTATATTGTTTTGTAACAAATTGCCCGCTATTTTATGACAAATGCTGAAGCTATGCAAACCTTAATCCAGCCTTAATCAAAGCACGTGTGTTTCGAATTTTGGGTGTGGCTTAACACGACAGGATCGGGCTAAGCTTTAGGCAGATTTCTGAAATATAATATATATTTCTTTCGGCCACAAACCCTGAGAGCGATCCTTACAGTACAACGTAATAGATTCTTAAATCAAGGAAAATCTTTGAGTTTTCTCTGGTGTTTATCAGTATACTATTTTATTTTAATGATACAATTGTTTTTATATTCGATGTCATTATTACAATTTCTTCCTTTTTTCTCCTTTTTCTCCAAGAAAAAAAAATGCTATTTTTTAAAAAACACTGTTCAAAAAAAATGGCAATTCATTTATTTACCTATCAAGGAAAGGTAAAGTAGGTTTTTTAAGTGCTTCTATAAAAAATACAAATATATACAAAAATAGCGTATATTTTTGATATATATATATTTATATACAATACCTTATGGCATCCGTATCATAACTATTTGTCGTATGATACGCACTTTCTAATTTAAAGCGACACTTATAACAGAAGAGTTGTAAAGACGTTCTATCCTTCTTTAATCTCTCTATAGTTAGTGTTAATTATTGACAAATTTTATATCAATATTTAGTCAATGATATCTAGGGATTGACCTCGCCAAAATTATCATTAATTGTCATTCTCAGTCTCTTATTGAAATAGTCCGTCTGACGATAACTCAAAAACCGCTAAACCGATTTTAACCAAATTTGGCACAAAAATACTGTGGCGAGAACGTTGTGCGACAAACCCGAGAATCTGGCCATTAGTTTTTGGTGGGGGTGGCTTGTTGGTAAGGGGGTATGGGAGGGGGTTAAAAATTATAAAAAATCGTAACTCCAAAATTACAGTAGCTAGCGAAACGCGGTTTTCAATTTTTAAGATTAGGAATAATATTTGCAACAAAATTTGTAATAACATCAAAATCACTCAAAATCGCAGTTTTTGAGATAAAAAAAAATTGGAAAAATTCCTTTACTTTGAAACTAAAAGAACTGCCTACCAACTTTTTATTAACATATTTTAGTGTGAGCGACTATATGTGCCTCCCAGCGCCAATTTTTTAAAATGTTTTAAAGGTGACTTAAAACAAAATGATTTTTTTTTCGCATATACTGTAATGGATCAATCTACATTCCACTACAGTTTAGAGAATATCAAAGTAGGGATAATGAAGCGAATAAGAAAGATATGGCAACGATATGCGGTATTAACGAAGGCGTTATTTTGACATCTATGACAGTTAAAGTGTCATAATAAGCGTTTGTGATAGATAACTCTTTATTAGGTTAAATTATTGTACTCTTTTTAGACACACTTTCTT